GCTCAAAATTCCCCAAACATAATAAATATCTAGTCAATCTAATAAATACCCAGTAAATCCATCAAAAAGGCAATACAGGCCAGGCGCGGTGGCTCAAGCCTGTAATCCCAGCACTTTGGGAGGCCGAGATGGGCGGATCACGAGGTCAGGAGATCGAGACCATCCTGGCTAACACGGTGAAACCCCGTCTCTACTAAGAAATACAAAAAATAGCCGGGCGAGGTGGCAGCGCCTGTAGTCCCAGCTACTCGGGAGGCTGAGGCAGGAGAATGGCGTGAACCCGGGAGGCGGAGCTTGCAGTGAGCTGAGATCCGGCCACTGCACTCCAGCCCGGGCAACAGAGCGAGACTCCGTAAAAAAAAAAAAAAAAAAAAAAGGCAATACAATAAAAAATGAAATGTGAATAAGGTAGATAGAGTGAAAGTACAAAATAAGAAATAATTTCAATTCGGTGGTAATTAAAATAAATGTAAAAGAGCTAAATGTTCCGGTAATAATCAAAGATTATCAGCTTAGGTATAAACAACACATCAACAAATCTAAATGCATGCGATTTATGAAACACGCCTGAAATATGAACTACAAATCAACAACATAACCCAAAGGCAAAAAGACTTAAACATTTAAGAGAAAAGATGAATGACCAAGAAACATATGCAAAAGCAGCTTGTGGGTAGGATAGGGGTGCTTGGGTAGGGGTAGCAGGTGGGAGGAATGGGTGGAAATATGTGGAAGGAAATGGGTGGAAATCACACAGGGGTGTACGGGAGACTTAAAGATAACGTGATTTTAAAAAATTGAGCGACAGCATGATGAAACCCTGTTTCTACTAAAATACAAAAAAAATTAGCTGGGTGTGGCGGCATATGCCTGTAGTCCAGCTACTCAGGAGGCTGAGGCAGGGGAATGTATGAACCCTGGAGGCAGAGGTTGCAGTGAGCCGAGATTGCGCCACTGCACTCCAGCCTGGGCGACAGAGCGAGACTCCATCTCTAAAAAAAGAGAGTGAGTGACAGGTACTTGGATGTTAATTGTCTAGTTGTTATTCATTCTTTATTTATATATCAGAAAATTGTTTGTATCTATTCAACATTTAATTTTTTAAACTTGAAAAGTTAAATACAAGTTTTCAACATTATGATAAGTCTTGCATAATCATTCCTCACTCGTACGCACCTCTTTTTAGTTACGAGGACCTGGTCTATTCCAAATGCTTCTCTCTTTTCCATGGGTTTTCAAGAAGTGAATCATTTCTTGATACTTCCATTCTGATTCTAATCTCTGCTCATCGTAACCACAGAGGAGTCATAACTTGTCTGAATCTTTGAGGAAATAGTCATTTTCTTCCAGCCCTCAGGAGGCGGCTCTAGTCTGTAGTTCTGCTTGACCCTGCTAATTGTCAGAAAAGCAGATCTAATGTTCCTTCTCTCTATGGAATCCCTACTCTCAGGTCGTTCTTACCTTCCTGCCACTGAGCATTTTCAATAACGTGATTCATCAATAACATTATTCAGTAACAGCTAACTTTAGTCCTGTTCGCAATATCAAACATTTCACATAATGTTGCTTCTCAACTTTTTGGTCAAGATCAAGTATAATATCTGTTCTCATCAGTTTAATATCTGGTCCATCCTCTATCTGAAGACAAGAGATTAAATGGATTTTTGGAGCAGGGAGATGCAATAGGAGCTTGCTCCAACCCCACACATGGACATGGTATTGCAGTACCTCCTGGAACGCTGCGCCCTCCCTGCTCCAAAAAACATTCACATACTAGACCATACATACCATGCACAATGTGCTCTAACATGTTATGGGAAGGAGAGTTATCCTTTATTATGCCAGCTGTAGAAAGAGAAGAATAAATATATTTTCCTCCATATGTCCATTGTCTTAGGGTTACTTCCCCAGAAGCAGAGTTCCTATTGGGATTTTTGTTCAAGTGTATACCAGGGGGTGGTCTCAGGAGAACAGCGCAGGAGACATGCTGAGCAAGAATGTGGGCTCAGGTAGAAACTAACTTCATTCTGACCTCACAGGGCACAATTACACTACCAAATTTATCTCACCTTGAGGCTAAGGGGTGTCAGGACTGTACAGGGTCTGCGATTCTACCCTACTTAACAACTAACAGGCCAGCCTGTTTCATGGATGCTGGCAGAAGACACAAAACTCTTGGATTAGAAACAGATGACTTTCTTACTTATAGCAGAAGCCATAACCAGAGTGTCAGCAGGATGCTTGAGCCAGTTCTCCCTGCCCCCCAGTACCCACAGAGGTGACACAGAGGGCCCATTACGGATTCCCGCACGCTCTGTGGGCTGCGTTATAACAGAGGAACACTGCGTTATAACAGAGGAACACTGCCCTTGGGGGATCCACTGCTCTTTAGAGAAGCAGCCCTGCTGTTTGTCTGTGAGGAGATATTGCCTTCTTCTTCAAGATTACTTGCTGCAAACACAACCTTGAGAATGGCCCATGTAAAGAGCAGAGCCAGCCTTGCATTCTTGACACATCCAGCAAGAATGTGCAGAGATGCTCAAGATGCGTGGCAGACGGGCTCTCCTAATCAGGGAGTGGTCTGTCTCCAAGAAAGAGGGAGCAAAGTGTCCTGGAGGAGGGGACTTGTGTGGCTGTGGACAAAGCTATGGAGAAGGAACAGCTGTGAGCTGTTTTCCTTCAACATCCACAGTAGCTGGGGATGAGGGGGTACCACCTCCGAAAGAGGATCTGAGAAGGGCGCCCTTAGCATCCATGCCACCTGCTTTTCCCTTAAAATCACAGATTTCTTTCAGATTCTATATTATCAATTACTGTCTACAATTTCTATTATAGAATTTTCTAAATTTACAACATATTATGCAAAGAGTTGTTAAGTTTCAAATAATGATTTTATACCTAATCCCAAGATTTGGCAGAGATAAATACATCCTCTTGCTGTTTTCAATCTTCTCTTTGTGTTCATTTTTTCTAATTAAAAAAGTACTAAATTTTGGATTATCCTCTTACAAGAGACTTGTCATGTTAAAAGCTCATATTAGTTTTGCTTTTTGGAGAGTTTTGCTTTTTGGAAAGACAGAATAGAATAAAGAAGTGCAGCCTGGGCACGGTGACTCACTCTGGTAACCCCAGCACACTGGGAAGCTGAGACAGGAGGATTGCTGGAACCCAGGAACTTGAGACCAGCCTGCATAACATGGAGACCCCATCTCTACAAAAATTTTAAGGAATTAGCTGGATATGATGGCACATGCCTGGAGTCCCAAGTACTTGGGAGGCTGAGGTGGGTGGATCACGTGAGCCCAGAAGGTTGAGGCTGCAGTGAGAGCTATGATTGTACCACTGCACTCTAGCCTGGATGACAGAGTGAGACCCTCTCTGAGAGAGTGAGAGAGAGAGAGAGAGAGAGAGAGAGAGAGAGAGAAGTGCGCAGGTGCTGCCAGCTGTTCTGCTTACCTGTTCTTAACTAGCCCTGTGGCCTTGGGCATGTTACTTAACTTCCCCACTGTCCCTTGGTTTCCCCATACATTAAATGAGTCTCATAATGGACCTTATTTCATAAAATTTTGTCGGAGCTGCCTAGAAAGCCTTACAACAAAGGTCAATACTTGGCATTTAATAAGAGCTCAGAAAATCTTTGATTTTGTTTTCCAAATGTCTCCAAAACTTCTTTTAAGCTACAGCAACAAAAACCATGTGCAGTCTTCTAACCACAAAAGGCAACATGAGTTTAAACAAGGTAAGGTATTGTTTTCTGATTTGTTTCATTTCTGATGCCCTTCCTGAATATGCCCAGTTTTTTCTTAGCCTTTTTGGAGAAGTAGCGTATTGAGTTAATGTCTTCGGTGAAAATAAAACTTCCATATTCAATCTCTCAGTCATAAATGAGTGCTATCTGCATCATCCCTTCTTAATACCTTACCTAATATTGCTTCCCCCTAAGTAAAGCTCATTGGGAAATTTTATATTCACTAAAGGCAGCCATAAGATTTGGGGAATTATATAATCAAGAATTGTATATATCTAAAAAGGAACATTATAAAATCCTCTAATTCAGACCACCTATAGTACAAACTAAAGATGAGGAAATTGACTCTTAAAAAGATTAAATGACTCTTCCAAAATCACAAAGATAATTCAGTAAGTTTTTTCCTCTACTAAATGTTCCTTTTTTCTGCATTTCATTCTCACTTAAGCAACTTATTGTCTCAAAGAGCATCATGTAATGATATAAAACGCAGCTTTCCAATCACACTAAGGGTCTCTCGATGTCTTCTCTTGACCACCAATCAGGAACCTTTGCTGGAAGCTTGTTTCTGATTGGTGAAGGTAAGCCGTAACAGTGGAATGCCAAGGAGTAAACACAAAAGCGTAGCAACAACTGAGTTTGCTGTCTCACTACCCTCAGCCTAGGCCAACCTGGACTCCTTCACCCCAAATGAGGTGACCTCTACATTTTATATGAAGACACTGATTTACCATTCAACTGTGATCCATCTTATAACATGGCAATCCGATACAGACAGGAAGATAAAACTGAACACAGCTAAAATAAAGTGTATTCCCAGGTAAAATAGACACGTGCTTTAATTTGAAATGGATTCGTCCGATGAGTGTCAGTTACAAGGGCACGGAAGGTACCGGTGCAGAAGAGCTGTCTCTGTGGGCAGTGTCACAGGTCCCCTAAGGGGCAATGCTTGTGCTGGGCGACATGACCCATCTTAATGTATAAACCCATAGCCAGACAGGACGTGCAAACGGGTCTCATGGTGAATGCCATGCTGTGGAAAATGACACGGAGAATGGCTGTCTCTCAGCTGGGGAGGGTCTTGGTGTCCTAGGAAAGAATGTTCACGTCCTAGAGTCGGTGGTTGGTGTTCTATCTAGGCGATGAGGGAAGGATGCTTTTCATAATGAGCGCCTGGTGGGAACAGAGTCTGTTTTTGCACTTTGCTGGAGGAAGACATATCTACCACCTTATTTTTTATTCTTGCTTACAGAATACACACTGTGGAAAAAGGATGAAGTTGACCAGTGAAAAGTTGCCCAAGAACCCCTTTTATGCCTCCATATCTCAATATGCTGCTAAAAACCAAAAATCCTTCCAATGGAAAAAGGAAAAGACTGGTACGAATCTTACTATTTAAGCTTCCCTTGGAAAATACTTTCACTAACAGTTCATTTTGTATGCTAGAGCAAACGAGACAAGAAAGACTGTGTTTGATTGATTTCAAGGAAGTGGTTAATCATTACAGTCCTTTTGAGTTTTCCCACAAGAATCTGTGAAATTGCTCATTTATCTGGTAGCAAATCGTCAGTGAGGTCTCACAGATAGTTAGGTCTTGAGTTTACTCTCAGGACTTAAGGACATGCTTCTAGAAAACACAAGCCAGATGTCATGTTTGTTAAAGAGAACAATGCCATGCTTTACTTGCAATTATTATTTAAATACCTGATTTCCCCTATAGCCTTAAAAATATTATATTAGGGATGGGATGCTCATTTGGTTAGAGGAGCTCTCATTAAGGCTCAAATTAAGAATTTAACTCACCTCTCCAGACGGCTTTGCCCATTGAAGACAAACCAATGCATAGACTTATACCGAGCCCTGCACTGCTACGGCTCTGCTTGGCCATAAGCAGGGTTAGTGCGAAACCCATCCACAAGTATTGCTTTTTTTGTTTTTGCTTTTGAGATGGAGTTTTGCTCTTGTTGCCCAGGCTTGAGTGCAGGGATGCGATCTTGGCTCACCGCAGCCTTCGCCTGCCTGAGTCTCCCGAGTAGCTGGGATTACAGGCATGCACCACCACACCCCCCAATTTTGTAGTTTTGGTAGCGTCGGGGTTTCTCCACGTTGGTCAGACTGGTCTTGAACTCCCAACCTCAGGTGATCTGCCCGCCTTGGCCTCCCAGAGTGCTGAGATTTACAGGCGTGAGCCACCGCGCCCGGCCCGTATTGCTTCATTATACAAGGCACAGTGTTAGGTACTGTGACCATGCCCTTTTCTCAGGTAATATTTCTTCCTTGCGCTAAGGAGGCCAGCTGTAGGAATGAGTACTAGAAAGAAATATTGTCAACAGTGTTAGATGGATTTTACATGATTCATTACTTTAGGAGAGAAAATTCCTATTATGTGGTTAATGGAATTCCTTACCTTTTAAACATCAGATCATTACAGCCATGCTAATTTGGTGGATAAGGCATTGCAGCTCTTGAAGAAAAGAATACTGAAAGGAGACACTCTGGCATATTTCCTGAGAGGTCAACTATATTTTGAAGAGGTATCATTTTTTGTTTATTTGTTTTCATTTCCTATAATTCTGTTGTTAGATCCTGAGACAAAAATTTCATGTAGAGTTTCTTACTGTGTTATACTAGGGAAATTCTGTCCAATTACATAGACTATGGCTGTGGCTTTAACAGTGGGATACAGTGCTGCTAGCTTGAGGAGTTACCTGATCTTTCTTCATAAAATCCATGTCATGAAAGCCATTTATGGGAGTCATTTTAGTATAAAATCCATTTCACACTATAGATTAAAAATCAAATTTTTATATATTTGCTCAAAATATTTAATAATACAAATTATATTATCAGGCTGGGTGCGGTGGCTCACACCTGTAATCCCAGCGCTTTGGGAGGCCGAGGCAGGTGGATCACCTGAGGTCAGGAGTTGGGAGACCAGCCTCTCCAACATAGCTAAACCCCGCCTCTACTAAAAATAAAAAAGAAATAGCCAGGCATGGTGGTGCACATCTGTAATCCCAGCTACTTGGGAGACTGAGGCAGAGAATTGCTTGAACCCAGGAGGCAGAGGTTGCAGTGAGCCGAGATTGTGCCACTGCACTCCAGCCTGGGTGACAGAATGAGACTCCCTCTCAAAAAAAAAAATTATATTATCAGATATCTTCATGTTAATAATTGAAGCCCTGATTTTTATCTAGTACTTAGAGGCGGCTTTAGTTGTCCCTGGACAGCATAGGAGGAAATCGCCCTCGTTCTCCACATCTTGTTGGGATAACCTGGGAAGTAGACTGAGGCATGGCTATGCCAGCTGTCCCCCCAACTTCAGTAATGTAGTTTCGGTTTTTCACTGATTTCCCCGGGAAGACTTGAAAAGGGACAGACTGTCCTTCACCATTCGTTGACTATTTGGGCAGCTGTTCACCTATATCCCACTTACTCTCTCACTTTTCAACGGCACCTTCATCTATCCTGGCAACAAATGTTTGCTGAGGGCTCATTGTGCACCTGTCACTCTGAGGATGGCAGAGCGCCATGGCAGACAGCGTGCTTCGTCAGCATGGGGCATGGGTTCGGACGTGGCTGCACTGCTTGTTAACTGTGTGTTTAACTTGGGCAGAAACAGTTGGCCACTTGGTGCCTTTGAGATTACTTAAAGATCATAATAAAAATAATTAAATATCTTCTGGGCGCTTCTAGGGATGGTATGAAGAAGCATTAGAACAGTTTGAAGAAATCGAGGAGAAAGACCATCAAGCAACTTACCAGCTAGGAGTGATGTACTATGATGGGCTGGGGACCATTCTAAATTCTGTAAGTTAGTGTCTTGGTCACAGTGGGTAAGATTTCCTTGTCAGTGGATTGTTGGACACAATTAAAATTATATTTTAATACTTTTTCTTTTTCTTTGAGACAGAGTCTCGCTGTGTCACCCAGGCTGGAGTGCAATGGCGCGACCTCGGCTTACTGCAACCTCCACTTCCCGGGTTCAAGTGATTCTCCTGCTTCAGCCTTAAGAGTAACTGGGATTACAGGCACTGCCACCATGCCTGGCTAATTTTTGTATTTTTAATAGAGACAGGATTCCACCATGTTGGCCAGGGTCTACTAAAAATACAAAAATTAGCCTGGCGTGGTGGTGCATGCTTGTATTCCCAGCTACCTGGGAGGCTGCAGTGAGCCAAGATCATGCCACTGCACTCCAGCCTAGGTGACAGAGCAAGACTCTGTCTCAAACAAAAATCAAAATATATTTGATTGTCCAGTATTATTTTCTTCTTTTGGGTGATGTTTGAAGGTTTGTGTCTGATGGATCTGGGGGTGGAGGGTGCAGATCTGTTCCTGCTAGTGGTTAGAATATCTTCTATGCTTTCCTTGTGACCACAAAGCAGATGTTGTATTAATGCGTAAGATTTGTATATTAGATACAAACTATGAGCACGCAGTAAAAGTATGCTTGAATGGAAGATGGTGTTTGTTAGGGGCTCACAAGTGTATTGTAAGAATTATAAATGTGAAAGAAGTTCCGGGCCATGCTTGCCTTTTAGTCAGTTCTAAGAACTGTGCTGATTCAGGATAAGGGTTATTAGATGGGAGGGAGGAGAGAAAAAAGAAAGCCCATATTGAGACTTAAATCAACTCAGGCAGCTGTAAACGGAAGGAAATTTCTTATATCCCAGAGCTCCTGGGAGTGCCTGGATAGGAAATGTACTTTTAGAGATTCTTTTCGTCCTTATTGCTTGCCCTGCAGGATCCAGGACAGTCGTAACTCTTGGGCACAGATTCATAGTATTACACATGTCAGAGGGCGGACACTTCACAGCCTTATTGGGAGAAAGAAATTCAGTTTGGGTAAAACTAAAAACTAGGGTTTTTTTATTCTTTCTTTTGTCGAAGGAGAAAGGGGTGGACTATATGAAGAAAATTCTTGATTCTCCATGTCCCAAAGCAAGACACTTAAAATTTGCAGCTGCTTACAACCTCGGAAGAGCTTATTATGAAGGAAAAGGTGTTAAACGATCAAATGAGGAAGCCGAAAGGTAATCCTACCTGGGAACAAGATTAGGTTTGAATGGAATGCCGAAACCAAGAATAACATGCCTCGCTTTCTCGTAGACTGTGGCTTTTCGCAGCAGACAATGGAAATCCCAAAGCTAGTGTGAAGGCTCAAAGTATGCTCGGGCTGTATTACTCAACCAAGGAGCCCAAGGAGTTAGAAAAGGTGACATGCCCCTCTTTTTTAATGCCAGTGTTATATTTAGATTAATATTTGTTTCACTACTTTTTTTGAAATGGTGGGGAATGTTGTTTTAAATCTCTCTTATATTTCCTTAAAATGTAAAGGAAGTGTACATTTTAGGATCTCAAAGCCCTTTTATTTATAAATGTCCCCTTCCCTACCTCTATCGAAGGAAACCATGAATGTGAGAGTATTTTGTATACTATAGTATCAAAGCTAAAAGAAGAGAAACAGTCCTGAAATTACAGCCAAAATCCTTTTAATCATGAATAGATGAGGATTGGCAGTGACTTGAGAAACAATTGATACTAATAAATAAAATATACTAAGAGTTAGTTACAAATAAAGTCCATCTAAGATTTTCACAGAAATACAATCTTTCATCCATGGTTGAAACAGTTTCCAAAAAAAATCCTATAGGGAGAAGGAAATGGGGGCCGAGTCCTACTTGTAAGAGAGGAGTTAATGGCAAGTTTGCAAGAGGCATATCACAACCAAGGCCATCTTCGGATAGATGAGCAGCCACCTGGAATTTTGTAAACGAGTTCAAATTCACTGTAGCGGAGTATGAGGCAAATGTGCTTGAGGCTACATACAGCGTTTATCTGGGGTTGTCTTTGATCACAGGAGCTGCCATCTCTAGCATCCACAGGGAGCTCGAACTCTCCCTCACCATCAGCAGTCTCCTCTCCTCCGCTGGCCACATGCCTTTCAGACACTTAGTTCCTATTTGGCACCTTCCTGATCCCTACTCTGGAAGGTCCCCAAATCCTGAAACCTAGGACAGCTGGTGCTTCTCTGCCATAAGCTGTCTGGACTGTGACCTCATCTGCACTGCGGAGAGACGGCAGAGGAACTCACCTCCACACAGCATTAGGCATGTGTGCTAGTGTGAAACGCGTCCAAAGGCCTACAGCTCTTTCCTAGAGATGATTAATAGTGCTATCTAGGAGCCACAGATTTCTGTCTAGTATTCCCTTATAATTTCATCTAGTGGATCACAAATACAATGACGAAACTGTGCTTTTCTTAGGCATTTTACTGGCATTCAGAAGCATGTGGCAATGGAAATCTGGAGTCCCAGGGTGCACTTGGGCTCATGTACTTGTACGGACAAGGCATCCGGCAGGATACGGAGGCTGCCCTGCATTGCTTAAGAGAAGCAGCAGAACGCGGAAACGTCTATGCTCAAGGGAATCTCGTGGAGTATTACTATAAGATGAAATTTTTTACAAAGTGTGTTGCATTTTCTAAAAGGTGAATGTCTGTGTCTGTTTTGTGCTGCTGTAACAGAATACCACACACTAGGTATTAAGAAACAGAGATTTATTTCCCCCGGTTCCAGAGGCCAGGAAGTTCAAGATCAAGGTAGGTGTGCCTGTCTGGTGAGGGCTGCAACCTCCAGAGGGGAGGACCATCGCGTCCTCACGTGACAGCGGAAAGCTACAGGAAACCTCTTTTATATTTCGTCCTGTTCATGAGGGAGGTGCTCTCATGGCCTCATCGCCTCTTGAGGGCCCCACCTCTTGATACGATCACACTAGCAACACTGGGATTTTGGAGGGAACTTGATTCAAACCCTAGCAGTAGTGTTGGAATAAACTGGATGAAAGCATTGACAAGAATGCCTAAGAATGTTCTACGCCAAACCCTTCCCAGAGCTTTCTGCGGTATTATCAACGGTAGCTACTGAGCACTTGAAATGTGTCTAATGCAACTTAGCACTAAACTTTTACATGTTAATTAACAGAAATATTCATATGGCTAGTGGTTACCATACTGGATAGCACAATTCTATGCCATTAGCCTTCAAGATTTCAGTGCTACTAGCTGAAGCAAGTTGCTTAAGAAGCAATTGCTTTATGTGTAAGAAGAGAATACCTTTATAGCAGGATCATAATAGTGTACTTAACACAGCTTGGCATATCACACGTTTATCACGTCTTCATTTCTTCCTGCACTCCTCGGCCATGCAGTTCTATAACTGCACAACTAAATATAGCTCCATAAGAACTGAACATGAGAATATGGTGAAAAGACTGAGACTATATCTAATAAAATATACAAAAACGTCTTTTCCCGGAGTCTGTAAGGCTCCATGTACTTTCCTACACTTCTTTACCCAGTGTATAAAAGCAGTGTGTCGGGGACACAGACCTGGGTGTACTCTGGAGTGTCCATCAGACTGCGTGTGCTCGTGTTTCCCAGTCACACCCTTCCCACAGCGCCAGGTCTCCCCTCTCTGCGAGCCCTAGTGCAGGGCAGTGATCTACAAGAGGATGAGGGGAGGGAGGGGCTGCTTCTCCCCGCGTCCCCGGCGTCTCGGGCTCCAGGCAGCAGACCACTTACAGGAGTGATTGCCAATATCTCAAAGCAAGTGTCCGTCTTAGTTAGAACTAAAGCTTTAAATCATTCTTTAAAATCTTTGGCGTTTTCCATTATTTCCCACATTCCTACTCCATTAACACTGTGGTTAACGTGGAGGTGACTGGATCGCATGCTCACACGATTCTACGTATTTGTGTCTGGGTATAAAGGATGACTTCTTTCCCTTGTCCATTTTTAAAGACATGCTAGTGAAAGGGTTTTCTGGTCCTATGTGGCTAATGTCCAAATTGAAGGTGGCTGTTTCCATACGTGATCCAAAGAAGTGGAAAATGCTTTCTTCTCCACGCAGTTTAAACCCACAAAGTGACATTAAACTTCCAAGAGTAATATGACAAGAAAAAAGAAACATACCTTTGTTTTCTAATGGTGATTGAGCCTGCTGAGCATAATTACAGAGACGATGTAAAGTCACCACTAGGGTAAGCTCGTCTTCTCCTGGTATGAGTTGGCTATACGAACCCTTCACCACGCAGCAAACAACTTAGTTCTCAAAGCAGTAGAGAGAAATCACTTCGGGGACAAGGTCACTTTCTAGGCACATCGTTTTACAAACACTTACGCCATAACTGATGTCCTTTTCCATTTCACCACTCTACGTCCTCTCAGGATTGCTGACTATGATGAGGTGCACGACATCCCGATGATTGCCCAGGTCACAGACTGTCTCCCGGAGTTCATCAGCAGAGGCATGGCAATGGCATCCTTCTACCACGCAAGGTGTCTCCAGCTCGGCTTGGGCATCACCAGGGACGAAGCAACGGCTAAGCACTATTATTCTAAAGTAAGCGTTAGAACAAAATATCAGTTCACCCAAAGAGAAACTGCCAGGCTTTAGTTGCAACTTGAAGGGTTTTACGGATTAGTGTTTCTTCTACTCAATTACTGTGCAGATAACCGCTGTCTACAGAGACGCTGTCAGACATGCAGATTGTTTGCAGACAATTGTCAGATTCTTATTAGCATAATTTAGCTCAAATGATTAAAAGCCCTATTTTGATGCAAATTACTCTTTCATTCTGCTACTATCTGCAGCCTAAGGCCCAGCACTAAGACCTTAAAGCTGAACAGTTTGTCTTTCATCTAGAAAAAGTGTGAACCTATGTGTTCATTCTAGTACGGTAATGAAATACGGTTTAAAGGTTTTTTTGAGCATGACATCTACCCCACTCAGGAGGGATATTCTTGAGCTTGAGGTAGTCAGTGAAAATAAGCCTTTCATATTTTAATCCGCGTGATCAATTTATTTAGATCCCAAATGCATTTCACATCTCAAAGTAACTACTAAAAACTAAAAAGCAAGGGCTGTGGCAGTTGCGGAGGTGGGGGGGCGGTAAAGGAGATCATTATGAATACGAAGTTTGGATTTTTTTTTTTTAAAGAAAACCCAAAAAGCTGGGCCATCACATCCATGAGTCAAAATTAGAATTACATCGTAGCAGACTTGGTAGAGCAGTGTTTGTAGTGCACAGATCGCTCAGCCTGAGTGGGGGAACAAGGGAAGGAACAGTCTTCTCAGTCCCTTGGCTGACTCTGATATTACCGCAGTGGTTCCCAAGCTTCTCTGCATGTTAAAATCACCCAAGGATCTTTTACAAATTCCAAAGTTCAGGCCTTATTTCAGAAAATTTCAATCATGGTCTCTAGGAGACAGAAGCATATTTGTTGAAGCTCCCCGTCGGATTCCAATGTCAGGTAAATTTGGGAACCCTAAATTACTTTAAAATTAAAACTTCCAGAGCATCAAAGCCATATTAACACACAGACACACAGCACACAGCCAAATGCAACTGATCTTTAAGATATTTACCTCTACTCCATTCTTCATATGAATAACGGTTGTCTAACTTTTTTCATTTAAATGCTCTCTGTACTGGCGGGGCACAGTGGCTCATGCCTGTAATCCCAGCACTTTGGGAGGCTGAGGCAGGCAGATCATTGAGGTCAGGAGTTCGAGACCAGCCTGGCCAACATGGTGAAACCCAGTGTCTACTAAAAATACTAAATAACCCCGTCTCTACTGAAAAATAAAATTAGCCAGGTGTGGTAGTGTGTGCCTGTAATCCCAGCTACTCGGGAGGCTGAGGCAGGAGAATTGCTTGAACCTGGGAGCAGAGGTTGCAGTGAGCCAAGATCACACCACTGCACTCCAGCCTGGGACTCTGTCTCAAAAAAAAAAATGCTCTCTGTACTATACCAATTTCCAAACCAAGCTGATTTCAGGTTCTATCCTATCCTTAATATCCTTAGAAAACTCTAGTCAAACATATTTTGAAACGTGGTATATAGTCATCCTGCATAAAGCAGCAAAACAAGGCCAGGTACGGTGGCTCAGGCCTGTAATCCCAGCACTTTGGGAGGCCGAGGTGGGAGGATTACCTGAGGCCAGGAGTTTGAGACCAACCTGTCCAATATGGCAAAATCCCATCTCTACTAGAAATACAAAAATTAGCCCATCATGGTAGTGCGTGCCTGTAGTCCCAGCTACTCGGGAGGCTGAGGCATGAGAATTGCTTGAACCCGCGAGGAGGAGTGTTGCAGTGAGCGGAGGTTGTGCCGCTGCACTCCAGCCTAGGCAACAGAGTGAGACTCCATCTCAAAAAAAAAAAAAAAAGCAAAAGAGATTCCAATCTGAGAATGATTTTCCATATGATGGGAGAAAATAGCCCCATTACTCTGCATCTAGGATACTGTACTCTAGAACTCTAGGATATGCATCGAGGATACTGGAGTCAGTTTGGGCCATTGGGGATACCGATAAAATGGAGATAATTTAGAGGCAGTGAACCAGTGAAGGGTCTGGAATGATGTCACATGAGGCTTGATATGAGAACAGAAACCTTCTCTCTCAGAGCAAAAGGACACGAGGGGTCCTGACAGTGGCCTTCACTGGACCGGCAGTGTCCCACAGGAAGGGAACAGGTGGGGAGGGAGCGGAATCAGAGCCCATGGCAGGCAGTGTGTTACGGCAGACGGTGAGGCTGTAAGATGGTAACTGGGACCTGGAGGTGACAGACCCAGGCCTGCTCTCAGCTCTGCCACCGTCAGGCAGGGAGACTCCAACTTCCTGGAGTCTTAGGTTTCTGTGAAACCAGCATTACGTATTCTGTTAGGACCCTTCAAGGATTCTAGAGTGCATGGAGAGAAATACCAGCCTAAAATAAGGGCGAGTTTTCTAACACAACAATTCAGGAAACAAACAAAAACACAGGTTTTCTCTAAAGGTGGCAACTTCCTGCTACTGGAAGCACACAAGCAAACACCTAGTGACCAACTGTCATGGCTACGGAAGGGACAATTTCTGCACAGAGTGGGGTTTGGATGAGAGCTCTGTCCCGCATTGTTGCCAGTCTAGAAATTATGCACCTTGCCACTGTTTAGACATCATAAGACTATTTTAGCTATATATTTTAAAATAAGATTATTACAGATGCTGTTATTCACATACTGAGATCATAACAACTTTGAGGCCAAATGTTAATGCGTTCCATTTTACTTATCTTAATAATTCATGACATACAATGCCATCACTGGTGCTTAAGTTCCCTTGATTCTTGGCACTGATAAAATGTTTTTCAAATTGATCCATTCTGCAGAGGTTAAAGTAGGACATCAGAATAGAAAGTATCTTAACAAATTTCCTTGAAATTAACTGTACTATTCTTAAAAACGAATCAAAAAAGAAAAAAAAAAAAGAAGAAAGACCCAAACAATGAGAATGTATCTAAATATCTGACTCTCTTTGGTTTCAAGGCTTGTCGTCTGAACCCTGCACTGGCAGATGAACTTCACTCCTTACTTATTCGTCAAAGAATTTAGACCACAATGTATTTCAACAAAGATCATCCATGCTAACACCGCACAATGTGTGTATCTTTATAGTAGCTATGACTGGTTATTTTGCACATCGCAAATTACACTATCCTGGGTATTTTACAGGTAACATGTTACTTCGTTCTTGAATTTGTGCGCGGTTAAGTTTTGCACCTTGAAACCTAGACACAAGGTCAGATTGCTGCAGGAGTCCTCAGAGGTCCACCTCTTACCCTACAGACTGGCCTAGACCATATCAAGTATCAAAACCATTCTACACAGCAAGTCTCTTTTTTCCTTTCTTAAATACCAAGTCTCCAAAAAGACTTAGTTTAGCTTTAGTAAGTTCAGAAGTAGAAATGATACAAACGTATTTAAAACCATCATTTGAAAGTTTAATTCTTTATATTTGTCTCTTAGTTTTGTGAATTTTGAATGTTTAAATTTTGTTTCAGTCATTTAAAATTTTTTAATGTAAATTCACAAAACTAATTAAGGGTAAAAGACATTTAAAGAATTAAACTTGAATAAGTGTGTGTAGCATTTCTACTTCTGAAGTTATTAAAGCTAAAACTGCACTAAGCCTTTTGAGACATCCTCTATTCTTAAAAAGTTCATAAATAATTGGCTAATTTATTACATATAAACTTCAAAAAAGTGGGTTATAAGACACTGCTTTGGAATCTTGCCCCTCCAAATCTTCCCTCAAAGATCTTAATGTAATGAGTAAAACAACTGCTATATACATATGCAGAATGTGTAATAAAACAAAAAGCAATTGCTATTTGAAAATATTTATAAGAAAGTTAAAGCAAATTGTTTCTTTGTGCTTCAGCTCATTTTCTACATTTTTAAAACCCTGTGGTAAAAACCTGAATGAAATCATCTACAAGAACTACAACTAAATACTGTTAAATTAGCAAAAGGCTTTCCTTATATAGATGACATCTATGAAGGCAAAAGGTGACAGTAAAAACAGTAAGATCCATATGCTTAAGACTGTACAAGGCTATACATTTGTGAAACAAATATACATATCGAAGACAGGTCTCAGAAATACCTTAACTATCCCTTTTTAAATAAACATATTAAATGATGTGGCTTTATTTTATAAATCACAACCATCCCGACAGTGGACTTAAACAAGATTTCTTTTTCGTCATGGGAAAATGCAGTTAATATGGAGGTGATAGTCACTAAACTGTTGAATGGCAGAAAAGTATTTGCTCTAGTTTTATGTTCTGGCTTGTCTGTATTGCTTGAACTTCATTTTGTCTTTGCGTAAGGGAAGAAATTTCAACAGACTCAGGTTTGAGATATCTCAAATTGTCATGTATTTCTGTCTCAAATCTCTTAATACCATCCATGTAACATTCCTTCAACCACTTGAAGATCCAAATTCCCAACCAGTATTCTCTTCTCCACACTTAATCCAGTTCCTAAAGATTCTTTTTTTTTTTTTTTTTTTTGGGCAATTTTGTCTTTTTCTCCCTGGCTGGTTTTCATTGGCACTATCTCAGCTCACTGCAATTCCGCCTCCCGGGTTCACGCCATTCTCCTGCCTCAGCCTCCCGAGAATCTTTAGGGTCGGGCACGGTGGCTCACACCTGTAATCCCAGCACTTTGGGAGGCCGAGGCGGGCAGATCACCTGAGGTCAGGGGATCGAGACAAGCCTGGCCAACGTGGTGAAGCCCTTCCTCTACTGAAAATACAAAAATTAGCTGGGCGTGCAGTCCCAGCTACTCAGGAGGCTGAGGCAGGAGAATGGCTTGAAACCGAGAGGCAGAGCTTGCAGTGAGCTGAGATTGTGCAATTGCACTCCAGCCTGGGCGACAAGATCGAAATTCCGTCTCCAGAAAAAAAAAAAAGAATCTTAAAATAGGAACATAATAAAAGATCGACCCTAACTAAAGAGCACTTTTTAAACTGCCATTAAAAGATGGGTTTCAGAAATCATACACTTTGACATGTGCCATATGTGGTAACATGCTGTGCTCAAATGTCTTCCATAAATCCAATGCAGAATGTAAAATTTCAGTTTACCGTAGTTACCATAAAGCTGATGCTCTGGCACAAGTGAGCCCGTGCAAACTACCACTGCTGAGGACAGTAGTAAACCCCTTGACCTGCGAGTGCGGTGAGTCTGTAACTCGAGCTGAGGCTTCCAGATCATGACTCTTACACACACACACACACTCCTTCTCTAAGATTCCTTATAGCTGATATCTCATGGAAAAATGACAATTTATCATAAATAAATATAGAGACAAAATAATAGTGATCTTTCTCATTTGCAATATAAACTTAACAGCTACAGTTTAAATGATAGCATAGAATTATGCCTAAAATGGACATTTCCAATAATTGTATTATGATAAGTTCTCTGGGCTTGACAACTTCACCTTGCCTCTCTTCCTTGAATGTATTTTATCTGTTTTTTTCTATATAGTCTTTTGAAGGATAATTTTTATCAATAGCCAACTTTGGGTATTTTTTTAAGTGTCAAATATCACGGTCTGAAAAAAGAATAAAAAAGCTATAATGAAAAAAATCTTAAGGATAACATTTGGTTTACTAATTTTTAATCATTTATCTTTCAGAACTTGTTTCTTATCAAGAAGTTGGCAGGTATGATACGTGTATTATACGTATATAAACTGGCACAGGTTACATACTGGGGCATTAGGGGAGTATCTTTCAGGGATTCAAACTGAATTTTTACCTTTTACTTGTTTGTGTTGTTTTCAATATTCTTGGGGATTAGAGAGGGGAAAGTATGTTGTTGTCACATAATAGATGGTGAAACCCAGGAAAATGAAGTACTTGTCCATGGTCCCACTATCAGTAACAGGAAGTCTGTCCTCTGGATCTCTCCTAATGCCCTTGTGGTCTAAAAGGCTCGATGATACAACCGAGCCCCTGAAGTAGCTGCCTTCCTCTTTCCGCTCCCCCATCTCTGCGCTGCCCATACTCCAAGGGTCAGCTCCCATCTCTCCTCCCTAATGCCTCACTTCAAGCACTCATTTGGCTCTTTCTGCTCACTAAAAATCATATATTTTCACAGATTTATTTTGTTTCTGGAGAAGGCAGCAAACTTTTGCTTCCCTGCAGAAGTAGTTAAGTGCATAGCGTTTTCTCTAAAAAGGCATTCAATAAATATTTGAACTGCCTGTAGAGTTTCAACCTCTTTGAAATATAAGTATCTTAAATATCATAGAGCGCTGTGATTCATTTTTATATTTTATTGCTTTGAATGCTAAAACTATGGGAAATCTTTGGTAAAAATAAAGACAATAAAATCTTCACAATAACTTTACACAAAGCATTGCACAACAATGTTCTTCAATATACATGAAATAATATAAGAAAGTTCACAATCCTCAGTGAGGAAATTAACTGTACAATATTCATAGTTCATTTTAAAACAAAATATTTTCATAAATATTTAAAATACTTCCTAGGTTCTCACATATTAACATCTGTATTTCAATCAGTATGTTGATCTTTAAAGTATTTATATTAAATAAAAATCAATAGAAGTTTTTTTCTGTTGCCTACCACAGCATAAGTCCCATCCTCCCCGATTCTGCTTATTTCACATAAAACTAGAGGGAGGTAACTAAAATAAAAATCAGTATGGTTCTCAGTCAAGCCCTCTGTGGAAAAGAGGAAAATGTTTCATGTCTATTATTACACAGACATTTTTCTGGTGGTTTATTTGTGCAGTCTCAAACTTGGCCAGCTTTAAGTTGATCTAAATGAGTTCTCAGCTCAGGACACAGTTCAATTAGCAGCAGTTCCATCAGCACCTGAACCAAGAAAGAAGGAAAAAAGTAGAAAAATGTTTTTCTCCAAGGGTTTATTCAAAATAAATATCTGCGTCTAAGAGAAAAGTGTAATTTTAGGTCTGAAATAATCTCAGTAAACAAGTGACTCTCAAACAGTATTTAATATTGGTAACTATAATCAGAGAGATGACTGGGAAACAGTTGGCTTTGCTGAAATAAGAAAACCAACCAGTTAGGCGGCAATGTTATATCAAAAGTCAAGGGAGGATGGGCACGGTGGCTCCTGCCTGTAATCCCAGTACTTTGGGAGGCCGAGGCAGACAGATCACCTGAGGTCAGGAGTTAGCGACCATCCCGGCCAACATGGCGAAACCCTGTCTCTACTAAAAATACAAAAATTAGCCGGGCGTGGTGGTGCATGCCTGTGGTCCCAGCTACTCGGGAGGCTGAGGCAGGAGAATTGCTTGAACCCGGGAGGCAGAGGTTGCAGTGAGCCGAGATCACGCCACTGCACCCGAGCCTGGGGGACAAGAGCGAAACTCTGTTTCAAAAAAAAAAAAAAAGTCAAGGGAAATGACTAGTCTGTGAGAATGCGAGCGTGCAGTCATTGGGGTCCATGCTTTTTCTAACTAAATGAAGAAACAGACAAAAATGAAGTAGAAAACCCCCGGGCTTTAATTTACTCACGTATAACAGATGCTTGTTGGCTCTTGCTTCTTGCAGTACATTGAATATTTTTATTATGCCATGGCGGGCATTTTGCTGTCCAACAAGGCTCTGAAGCGTATCTGAAAAATTAAGTTTATATTCTATGCTGCTATTGATAAAGTGCTCAGTGCATAGCTTTGCGGTGAAAGGAATATAACATTATACACATTCAGTCAATAAAGACATGGAGGCATGAGAAACATGAATGGTCAGTTCTCGCAAATGCTTCAGGAGAGGATTTTTCAACATAAGGCATTTATACAAATTACAGTTTTAATATGTTGCAACTACTAATTGTAATAATTAAAATGTTAATATTTTGCTAAAAATGAAGCTCTCAAAACACTATACTTTAGCAGGATTTCCAAAACACAAAGTTTATTATCTGTTCTAAAACATTTTTCAAGTTAACATTCTCAGTATAACTTCTTAGCAAGTGACAAAAAATGGCTTAAAAGAGTATGATCCTTTTTTTTTTTTCATTGTAAAAAACGGTTCCTGCAAGACATAAATGAAAATCACCTCAATGGGGTTCACATTCCCTCATGATCTGTAACAGCCCAGGCCTCACCTGGAATGTTTTCAAGCAGCTTTTGCTGCGCTCTCTGTTTTGTTTCCTGACTTTGCTCTTCG